CCCCCCCCTTGAGCCCTTTCAAAAGCGCTGCGGAGACTGAGGCGGCGCACACTAGTGCTTCGCTGCGGCTCGGCTTGGGTCTCGGGTTGGAACAAGCTTGCCTTGGTATCACCTGAGATGAGACGGATTCATTCTTTTTTTTTTGGTTTGGTCTGACTGCGGAGCAGAACGATTGGTGGACATACTTAAGGAGCGGGATGAATTGAGAAGCGCCTTGAGCAGGGCTAGTTTGGAAGCGAGGCTCGCTGCATCTCCGCAAGTCGCCTGCACACCTCGCTTATGCAGCTGTTCGACACGCAAAACAGACGCTTTTCTCCCATCGCCATCGCTAAACGTCGCAACTTCAACCCGCATGTGGTGCGCCCCCTTCGATCTCTGCTCGTTTGAAGCACTGGTATTGTTGCCCGGCTCAGCCTGGAGCCTCAGGTGGACTTCTTTCTCTCGTCCATCGAGAAACCGCCTGGGAAGGGCAATGCCAGAAAGGGTGAGCATACTTGTTTGGAGACCTGATGCTGGGTGGCGGCCAGGGCAGTCGTGAAGCAATGCGAGCTCACCTGGTCCTTGGTTCACAAGCAAGAGCAAACCTCCGACAATCGAGAGGGTCTGGAAGAAGTCGTATCGCAAAAAGTCGCGAGCGGGATGTGCGTGGTGAACAGTCCAGAAGTTGTTCACAAAAAGCTGCGAGAGAAGGAGATGGAGACACGAGGGTAGGGGTGTGAGTGAAAAACGGGAGGTGAGATGAGACGCGGCGTGACCTGCTGTACTGCACTGCTCAGGCGGACTCACATTGAAGACAGAGAGGAGCAGTACCAGGAAGCTAGCGGACCAACGAGCTTTGAATCCTACGGCAACCATGATGCAGGCGCCAAGTCCAAGAATGGACACAACCACGCGTGCGATCGACCAATTGCCTTGGATAATAAAGCCAATGAAGAGGAAGATGAGAAGCACGCGACCGGCGAGCTGCGAGCACGAGATGATTTGTGCACGACAGTGGTCAGCGGATAGGAGTAGCGTGTTGGCGGGTGACATTTCGGCAAGAGAGCCGAGCTCGTGGACAACGCGCGCCGCTCTGCTATCATGACTCATTCCCTGTCTCTCGATGACGGGCGGGGATGTTGCGAGACGCCTCCATAATTTGACCGACATCTAGCTCGTGCGCTGGCCCATCAGCTGTGCCACAAGGAAGAGGCACTCACCTGGAAGTAGATTCTGCGATCCGTCTCGCTGATGCTAGGCAAACCAGCAAAGATGTTCTTCTTTTTGCTCAGGCTGTCCGACAAGACCATGAGCAATCCACCAATCACGGACAAGTTGCGCAGGAAAAAGTTGATATCGAAAATAAGGCCATATCCAAATCCTTGTACAACTACCACACCCAAAAGAGCTCCAACACTGATTTCAGGGAATCTGCGCGCGATGACTGCACCCGAGGCTGCCAGCATGACCTGAAGGGAAGGAGGAGAAGGCCCCGAGTTGTCAGAACAGGATTCTGGGAGATTGGCTCAGAGCCGGGTCGGGCTGGGCCTCCCGACCGGATTATGAGTTATGCTGTAGATGGGTGGACTCACTATTACGTTCGTGAGGAGGAAGACGTGAGAAATGCCCCAAGGGAATCCCCGATGCTTTTGGAGATAGTACTTTTGGTCGCCCCACTGAGTCAGGATGCGCAGGGCATCTTCCAGAAAGGTGACTACAATGAGGAACCTGCCAAGCGCTGGAAGATGAGGCTTGATTGGCTGCGTGTACTGGTCGATCAGGTCTTCAACCTACAGCGCGCATACAGGGGACGAAGGTCAGCTTCATGCCTGCCAATCACGACTTTGGCCTCGCCCGAGCAGACCAGCTCGCAGCGCTTGGTCCCAGCCAAGAAGCCTAATCGCCAGCCACTGCACATCTTGCATCTACCTCAGCAACCTCCTGACTGCGGCTTACCTTGGAAGTGTACGCTCTGACCTTGGCCAGAGGTGATTCATCGTCTGCGGCTGCGAAGCCCGAGGGTCTAGCGTACGGGGAGCTTCCGTACGTCGCCATGATGCTACTTTCTGCTTCGCGATCTCTGCTAGAATGGTCGACCCACTTTGCTTGCGGTTCTGCTTCGACTGCGTTGTGTTGATGCTTCTGGTTGCTGCGAAGTTTGTCTTCTTATCTGCTCAAAGGGGCGTTAATAGCACCTTGCTTAGGAGTTGCGTGAGTAGCTTCGTGGTATCAAATGGTGATGGTGGTGGTGAGAGACGCAGAAGTTCAGCGCAGGGTCGTCAGCTCGATGTTTATGCAAAGCGACTCTCACCCGATTGTTTGCTGACGAGGTGCCTGTCAGGAGGCGAGTGATGTCGGAGTGAGGAAGATGATGATCAGTCCATGCTCGTTGGCGTGTGCATGTGCATGTGCATGTGCTGCAGCTATGCTCCTCGCAGCTTCAGCATTCACATTGGCCATTCGTCATTTCAGCAGCGCAAATGCCACGCACGCCCTTCCAGCGTGCACGAGCACGAGCACGAGCCGGGCGCGTGCCTGTCTGCTTATAGCTAATGCTTGAGCTGGAGGCGCGCGTCTGCGCACCAAAGTTCAAAACGTTGGCGCAGTGCAGCGCTTATATACTACTGTATACAAACGACACGCAGCCCGAATTCAAATCCGGTCTGCATGACATGGCGTGGGCAGGTCAGCTTGTAAACCCGAAATTTGACGCCCTTGGGTGCTATTTCAACAAAGCACCTGCCTGCTTTTGTATTGCTCGCCCGCGCACCGCTCATCGCTTATTCATGCACGGTTTAGCGCCCTCTCGCAGATGTGATGCCATGCATGCATGCACGCTGTTCACACGCCCCGCGCTCTTGCAATGCACCGTCGAACGAGCAAGCGCGATCCGCGAACATATACTACTGTATGTACAGTATACACGTATGCAGCAAGCATAGCATGTGTATATAGCAAGCATCCTGCTTGATCCTCGCATGGGTTACCTCGTCCGCCGCCAGCGACATCGCGTTCCACGGTTTCGCCAAGTCTAATCCTT